TTTCTTTGTGCTTTGATCACACCTGTTCTATTACCTCTTTCAGGTCAGATGTTACCACATTGGCAAAAACTGTCTCTGTCCACTCTGTTAAAAAACAGTAATTACTCCCTTCTCTTCACTTCCTATTCCTCCTTAGCCTGTTTCTTCTTCCATATACTTAATTGCCACCAATTGCTGCCTGCTTGCTTACTTGTCCTCTTCTAATTAAAAGGTAAACCTGATAAAGACATTCATTTAACTCTTGGTAACAATTTTCTCCTTAGAACCTAGAAGAGTAACTCAACACATTGCAGGTGCTTACGTATTTGTTGGACAAATAAAATTATATTCCAAACTTTAAATTATGAACTTAATTTTTAGAAGATACCATAAGTTTCTGGGGTTTCAACTCATTTAAGTGGGGGAAAGAACTGGAAACTGAAGATGCAATCGTAATAAGAGAAATTGAAGTATAATTTTTGGGAAACATATAAATCATATATATTAACTATATATTTTGGAAGATAAACACATGAAACACAGATCAAGAAATTGGCTCTTCAGCAACACAGAAGTCTTTCTACATCTAGTTATTTTCCGTATCAGAAGTGGCACATTTGTCATGTTTGCTGACTCCACACTGAGAAGTCATTATAACAGTGCACACATCTTACATTAGGTTTCTTTTTTGGTGGTGTACATTCTGTGAGGTTAGATAAATACATAAGTTATATTAGCCCATTATAATGAGAGTATTTTTACTCCTAAAATTCTATCCTGATTTTTGGAAATTAATCCAGGAGAAAACAGAAAATTAGTGTTTTACCTTGATTTAGTAAAGAGATGTAATTATATTTCTATTTGGGAACAAGATTTTGGCAGGTTAAGTACAAGATGACTTGGAGAAAGAGATGAGAGAGAGAGAGCACCTAGCATGTACTGGCAAGACTTTGCTGAAGTTGCTAGTTTGAGTAGTTAGGTTATTAATGCCAAGGGGATACAAGGAGAAGGTTTGTTTTTGATGGACCAAGATGTGTTCAGTTTGGGCTTGACTACATTGTGTATGTCTGTATAGTAAGAAAGCAAACTAAATTGGTAGTCCTTTTTCTGGCATATTCCTTTAAGTGTATTTTGAAAGAATTAGCAAGAAAGAGAGTAGGAATGTTCTAAAATTGCTTCTCAACTCGGGGGTTGAGTGATTCTTTCATGGGGTTTACATATCAGATAGATTTACAGTTGAAGTAGCAGTGAGGTAATAATTTTATGATTGGGGGTCAGTCACCACAAAGTGAACTGTTTTAAAGGATCACAGCATTAGAAAGGTTGAGAACCACTGTTCTAAAATATCTCCATTTCCTCAGCCAGGTTGTTTTCCATTCTTTCCCATACTTACTGGGTTCCTTCCTTCCTTCCTCCATCCTCCTCCTTATTCTTTTGTATTGGTGTTTTGCCTGTGTGTATGTCTGTGTGAGGGTGGCAGAACCCCTGGGACTGGAGGTAAAGACAGTTGTGAGCTGCCATGTGGATGCTGGGAATCGAACCAGGGTCCAGTACTTTTAACTGCTGAGCCATCGCTCAGTGTTTTTTGTGTGCTTGTTCTTTTGATGGTCTTTAAGTCTTAATAGTTCCTATTCAGATAGATGTTCTTTCTGTTGCTTTGCTTCTTAAGAGACAGGATCTTACACAGTCCACACTTGGCTGTCTCTATGTAGACCAGGCTGACCACAGACTTGGAGCAGTCTTCCTCCTCCTGTCACTTGAGTGCTGGGATACAGCACTTAGTTTATTATATTTTTTTCTTATTAAAATAAAAACTCAAGCTGGTGGAATTCATTGTGCAGCCCATACTGGTCTTGAACCAAAGCAGTCCTCATGTCTCAGCCTGTATTTTTAAGATGCATTCTTATACTGTGTTGCCCCTGCTTTTTTCTCTATGCAGGTATCACAAATGATGTTGAGTAAACACATAGAAGATTGAGACTTAAATGTCATGATCTGATTTTAAAATACATAATAAAATTTTTATTTTGTGAATATGCTATCTATAAACTAGCATTATTCAGCTTGCTAGAGCTAATACTGTGCAATATATGTATGGTACTTGTCACATTACAGTTGGACACCTAATATGAAAGGGCAGAGGCTAAGATCTTTAATATATGGAAAAGTCTATAATACCTGACTCCATTAAAAATACAGAAACAACAGATTGAATATCCCTTTTTACATTTTCAGTCACCAGATGAAACTCACACTGTACATAGGCTCATAATTGTGGACATATCTGGATGAATGTATGTGTTCTTCTTGTCCCTTGTCTGACAGAGGAAAAGGTGATTGCTCTGTCAGCTAACACTTTGAGTACTCTCTGGATTATCGTCTCTTCCTGGCATTTTGATCACCTCCCCCCAACACACACATAGATCCTTCTCATAGGTAGTAAACATAGTCAGCTTTCCTGTTTCTCAGAACAAAGCATTTCTTGTTGTTTTTAACTTCCCAGCTTTTTGCTATGTTTCTCCATGTCTCTCGAACATGCTTAAAAAGTTGCTTTCTTTTAAAAATATTTTTTACCAAGATTATTGTATTTGTGTGTGTGCGTGGAGACATGGCTGCAGGTGCCTACAGAGACCAGAGGATTCCATTCGAGCTGAACCCAGGTCTTCTGCAAGAGTTGTATGTGCCCTTAACCACTGACCCATCTCTTCAGCACTTTGTTGTGTTTCAACAGTCTTGTTATGTAGACCAGGTTAGTTTCAGATTTATGAACCTCCTGCTTTAGTCACCTCAGATCTTGAGACTACATATGTGTACAACAATATGAGCCCAGTTACATGTGTTATTAGTAGTACTTTTTTGCTCACTATTTTATTTTTAATTATGTACATGTGTTGGTTGGAGATGGCTCAGTTGTTAAGAGCTTTTGCAGAGGATCCAAGTTAGATTCTCAGTACCCATGTCAGGTAGCTTATAACTGCCTGTAGCTCCACAGGGTTCTTATGTCTTTGACATCCATAGACACCTGCATTCACGTGTGCATACACAGACACTACATAATTAAAAATAAATTTTTAAAAATCCATGTGTGCATTTGTGTTGGGGATATGTGCATGTGAGTGCAGGTACCCTTGGAGGCCAGATGAGGCTGTTGGATCCTCTGTGATTGGGAGTCTTGGCATGTGGGTGCAGGGGACCAAACCTGGTTAGCCACTGAGCTGGTTCTCCCCTTCAGTCGTTCTTATATCATTGATTGACACTAATATCCACTCCACTCTTCAGCCCTGAATTCCTCCTCTTCTTTTTCCCCTAGATTTTTTTTTAAAGATTTTATTGTGTATACAATGTTCAGCCTGCATATATGCCTGCAGGCCGGAAGAGGGCACCAGATCTCATTGCAGATGGTTGTGAGACCCCATGTGGTTGCTGGGAATTGAACTCAGGACCTCTGGAAGAGCAGTCAGTGCTCTTAACCTCTGAGCCATCTCTCCAGCTCACCCCACCCCACCCCACCCCACACCGACGTTTAAAAATGTGTTTTAAGTTTGCATTGCTGTGAAATTATATACGTTTTGTTTTTATGTTTTCTCATGCTGGACAAATTTTGGGTACTCTACCACCAAGCTGCATTCAAGCACTATATACTTTATGTTCAAGGTTATTTTTGTCCAAAGTATTAGCAATTACTAAAGATTCAAAATAGGATTTTTAGATTTGTATGTTTTTCAGGAATTTGGGTTGGTTTTTTTTGTTTTGCTTTGTTGCCATAAAGGATTCTATGTAGATGATACTTTTATCATCATTATTATCTTTTAAAATTAGTTTTCTGGGTTGAGAAAACCTTAATAGCCGTAGGATCACTTAGAAAGTGATGCATTACTGATATGTAGAGATCTTTTGTCTTGGCCAAAAAAAATAACATGACTGCTTGCTATGTTCACTTTTTATCACTCTATACTCCTTTTGCTTCCAAGTCTGGTTTATAATAAACCAGAAACTGTCTTATACTTGTATACATCCTTGTATAACATAGTCATTATAAGTACATCAGTAATTTAATTGTTGACTTTAAAACTTGAGTTTGCATGTACTGTACAAATGAAATGCTCTCTGTCCACGTTTTCATCCCGAGAGAGAGAGAGAGAGAGAGAGAGAGAGAGAGAGAGAGAGAGAGAGAGAGAGAGAGAATATGAATGGAGACAAGCAATTGGTCTTGGGTGTCTGTCTCGATTGTCCACCTTACATTTGGAGACAGAATCTCTTTCTGAACTTGGAGCTGATTTGGCTAGGTTAGCTAGCCAGTAGGCTATAGGAATCCACTTCTACTTGTGTGTCCCCCTGGTGAGCGGTTCTTTTCTTTTTCCTGCCCCTGTGACATATATGTACTCAATTTTTTATGTGGGTATTGGGGATCTGAATTTAGATTGTCTGCTCTTGAGACAGGGCACTATACTGACTGAGGTATATCCTGGCCCTGTGAATACATTCCTTTACATTCATGTGGCACCTATAAATAGAATGGCTGTAAGTTGTAAGATATTAGAGACATATGTTCCAGGCTACATTGGTTATTAAATTATTGAATGATTGGACCTGCTATTGCAGGCCTCAAATTTCAGCTGTATGCTGAAGCAGGAAGTTGCAAGTTCAGGGCAAACCTGGGAAACTTAATCATAACTTATCTCAAAAAATTATAAGGAAAAAAGGGGGAGGGGGCTATGAGGCCCTAGATTTGGCCCTGAAGTAACTCAGTTAACTAACTGACATATTCTTATTGGAGCCTTAAAAAAAGTAAGCTCTGTTGCTTGCCTTATTTCCTCTTCTGCTAAGTCTGTTAAAAATAAAATAGATTGTTTTGAAGGGAAAAAGCCACAAAGGAAAATGACTATGCTTTATAAACAGTTGATTTTTTTTTTCCTTATATAATACTCACTTTAACTGAAAAATGCTTGAAACTAATGTCTGTCTTTTTAACCAGTAGGCTGCATCTCATGTGTATATGTGCTGCCCCCTTTTATCTCTAGATATTAGAATCAAGGAAGAAGAACCTGACCCTGAAGAGTGGCAGCTCAGTGGTGATTCTACACTGAATACCAATGACCTAACACACTTAAGAGTACAAGTGGTAGATGAAGAAGGGGACCAACAACATCAAGAAGGAAAAAGACTTCGGAGGGTAGCTTGCACCTGTCCCAACTGTAAAGAAGGTGGTGGGAGGTATGCATACATCAACCATGTGTTGTTGCTTTAAGGAGTGCTAATATCATCCTAATTTTTAAAACATTGCATGCAGTATCACTTAATTATGGTTAATTGTTCATCACATGATCATTTTGGGTGTGTGATTGTATGCTTGGCAGAAGTTAGACAAGATATATACAAATTTTCATATACAAATGCCTTTTAAACTAAAATTGCTTAGTCTTCAAAAGAATATAACAGATACAGTTTTATGGACCCAGGTTTACTAGCCTGTTTGCAAACCAATAATAAATTTTGCCTAAATACAGAGAAAAAAATTATACCTTGAGATTGCTGCATAAAAGTAAGAAGTTCAGAAATAAGTTGATAAGTATAAATACATCATTTTCAACAGAAATGAGGATGAAAACTTAATGATGGGGACTTATTTTTTTGAAAGTAGCATGGTAGTATTTTACCTCATTTTTTTTAAAAGATAAACTAAGACAAAAATAATGTTACAGGAATGAATTCAAATGGTTGGTGATTACTTTAAATGTAGCTAGAGTAAGCTTATTAAGATAGACTTAGATCATAAAAAGCCCCAACAAAATCTGTCCTGATGATTATAAGAAACAGCTCAAATGATTGGTACAGTATTATTGAAGATGGGATGAAAAAGACCAAATGTTAGCAAAAAGAAAACTTAGATAGCAATGTTGGTATCAAGCAAGATGCAATTAAATACTTGATGAGCAGAATTATATTTCATAATGACTTACCTGTCCAGATTCAGTAGTCACGGAATCTTATTTGCCCAGCTTTGAAACATATAATACAAAGACGGAATGATAAAATCTCCAGTCGTTATTGTAAAAGGCTGCAATACCTTTCTCCTATGTACTACTTTTAAGATGCAAAATATGCTGGAGTATAACTGTGTATATAAATGCACATTGTTAAAAACTTGATTATCTTTCAGCTCTCTGGTTGGTCCTATTGATCGATTTCTACTTCAGTCAATTCATTTGCAAAAATAATGACTAGGACAAAGTCATTATTTCAGTGAGGCTTGAAAAACCACAAAAGGGGGAGGGGCCTGATAGCTGCCAACATTCAAAAACTTACTATGTTCTTATAAGTGGCACATATGTGTCACACACAGTTATATTGCTTAAATGCACACACGCTCTGAGTGAGATAGAATTGCCAGCACTCAACGAGAGAGTTTGAGGCCAGCCTGTACCAACTGGCTTTAGAACCCTTTTATATACTGGAGATTCCTAACCCTTACATTGTATTGCCAACTGAGTGGATCTGCTTTTGAACCTACCCTTTAGATATTTATAATAAATGTGGAATTCTCGATAGGCAGTCATTTTTCTGAAATGTACTCTTCTTTTAGAGGCACTTTCAAGATAAATTATTCTTCAAATCTATATGGGGGTCAGTGCTTAGCCTTCACTTACTCTTTAAAGTTAAAAACCATTTTAAATTAATTTGCTAAACATGACCTAAAAATTGAGAGGGAGTAGAAGAATATTTCAGAACAACACAAGCCCCACAAATCATATCCTACCTCAAGATCTAACCACTATAACATTTTTGTGCAATACTACATATATTTTAAAGTAGAAACATCTTTCTTACTGTTTATGTCTCGTTTTGTAAGTTTTTGTGACCGTATTTCCAAGTCTGCTCTGTGTCATCTTTTGGTCGATGTATATTATCGTATGTGGATATATAATTTAACTTTCTCCTTTGTTTGGGATTTGTCATAAGTCTCACACTTACGTCCTTGCACATCTGTTGGTTGTCTCATTAGTGTATGTTGGCAGAAATAGAATTGCTGGGTCAATGGAATTGTCTGCTAAAAAGCTGTATTGCTTTCTACTTACACCAGCACTGCCTCAGGATGTCTGTGTTCCCATGTGCTGAGCAACTCTTACTTTTTACTTCTTTTTAAAAACCCTTTAAAGTTTGATAGGCAAGAAATAGTTCATTTATTTTAGTTTGTTTTATTGCTTGGTAAGGTTGAAATATTCAGTAGTTTTATAAAATTCATTTTGTGAATTGTCTGTCTTGTGGAACTGATTTTTTTTATGTGAACTTTCACATGTACAAGTATATTTTCTCAGTTTTTTCTACATCCTTACTGTCAGTGGTCCATCTGCACAATGCATTTTATTAGTAAAGGAGTTCTCGTACAACTAACAAAATTTCAGGGGCTGGAGAGATAGATACCCTAGTAGTTAAGAGCATTGGCTGTTCTTCTAGAGGGCCCAGGTTTGGTTCCTAACACCCATATATGGCAGCTTAACAAATATCCATGCTTGTGGTGTACAATACATACAGGAAAAGCATTCACACATACAAAATAATAGATTTGAATTTAAAAAATTAAACCGATTAGCCAGTTAGCTAGTCTTCTATATAGCAGAACCAGTCTTTAGAGACTAATTGAAGAAATAGTTATAATAATGCAAAGTGATCTAAAGGCATTATTGTTACATGGGTTTTGCATGAATTAAGCATCAATCCATTTATTTTACAAAGTTTGTTTTGTCAGCATTTCAGCTTGTGTTTCTGCCACCATAAGCAAAAGAGGCTATAGTTAACTTTTCTTAACTTTGTCCAGAATTTGGATTTATTCTTTGTCGTTGTCTTGTCATTGAATTATTGGGCACAAGTTTAGGCATTCATGAGCAGAAATTGAAAATTGCTAGTTACGTGGGGTTATATAATGGTCATTAGTATATTCAAGATGGAAACACTAAGAGCCCTTTCTCTTCCTTCATAGGATAGGCCATTAATATATCTGGTCTATCTAGATCTTACCTTGGGTTGGATTTCCTTAAGCACTAACATGAACCTCAGCAAGCTAAGCATTTAACGTAAATTATAATACAGTTGATGCAACTTGATTTTTTTCCTAGATGCATATTCCATTTTTAATGACTACTTTTCATTTGCCTTATAATTCAACAGAAAAAGAAATCTTTCCCTACCATTTTTCTCAGTCTTCTGAGAACCTATGTTTGTTGCTGCTCATTTGTTAGTCTTGTATTTTGTTGGTACTCACAGGCTAAAATTTTGATAGGTTTGTCAAATTACACTTTTGAGTTTATAAAATCACATTAGTTCACCAAAGTGGTACCCTTAACAAAGGAATGTGAAATCATGAGTGAACTGAGTTGGGTTTCCTGTGAAATTGCTATGGTGAACGCAATATTAATACCAATGAAGACATTGTTCTTTCTCTTAGATCTATTTAAAAATAAAGCAAATTTTAAAAATCTAAATTAAATGGAAACAAGATTTGGGCATTGAAAATAAGCCAGGAAAAAACCTGTTTTTCTCAACTCAGCTCTTTAAAGAGACTTAGAAATTGGGGGTGGACTGGAGCAGGAACTAGAATGTGTTAGATTATGACATCCTTGCCCTTGAGACAACAGCATGATTCCTCCTTGTCTTTACTTATGCTATTCCTCTGCCTGGAATGCCTTCCCTCCTTTCTATCTAAATCCTACCCACCTCCTCCACGAAGCCTTCTCTAACTACTGGAGCCCACATTGATGTCTCCCTGTTCAGAACACCTATGGCATCTAACAGCCAGCACTGCACCGTTTAGCACTGTTTGTCCTATGGCAATTTCACATGCTACTGAGTGTGAGTACATTAAAATATAAATGTGGGGGAAATTTGAAAAACGATAGGTATATTGTATACAGGAGGATTTAGTAGTTGTGAAAGGTTTACAGGCTACACTTAGATTGAGTTTGAGGGAGGAGGGGAGTTGGGAAGGGGTTAGGGTGCCTTTTTTTTTATCTTAGAGAAACATTGCGAAGTTTATACAGTGTGGTTTTGATAATTATGTCCAAAAAATCATGCATTAAAAAAAAATCAGTAACAATCCTAATTTTTGTTCTTAAGAAATGTTTTTGTAGTGCTTAATGCTATTGAAATACTGTTTCTGGATTCAAAAAGGTTTCTTCTTGCTTAGACTAAAATACCTCCGTTCACTCATCTGAGAACATCTCCCAAACTGTCCTTTGTATCAAATATTTAAGTACAATGTAAAATTTTGCACTGTGGAGAAAATGGATTTTGTTATATCTCTTGTGAATAATTTTGGATGTCTGCATGGTTTATGGGGGGAAGATTTTAACAGTAAAGATTTTGATTTGTATTTGTTGTGTGAGATACCAGGAGAGTTAAGAACATAGCTTTAGTTAGATTTTTTAAAAACATAGATAGTCAAGTGTATGTCAGGGTGTAACCATTTGAGTAACTTAAATGTTCTTAAATCATGTTAATTTAAATCCTGCTTAAGCTGTCTATCTGCCTTTTAATTGTACCTGTGATGAGTTTCTGTACATTATTCTTTGGGTAATAAACTATAAAAATTATCTGACATCATGACTTTGAATAAAACTAGTTGAATTGGTCCTGTGCATAGTATTTGAGAATGATTCTGATGGGATAGTTAATAGCTTTACTGTGTATTCTTTGTGTATGAAGTGTCCTTTTAGTTACATCATTATTAAACATAGTTATATTCAGACAACAGTCAGTTCTTGAATGAGATTAATACATTAAATCTGTATATTTAAAATACATAAATTTTCACTTAAATAAGACTTAAAATGGTTTTGGTTTCTGATTGTTCTCTTGGTGGTAATATCTTCTTTTTGAAACTCAAGAAACTCTGATATAAATGGTTTTGAATGCATTGATATAAATATATATTTTTCTGTGTGTTTTTTAGAGGTACCAATCTTGGAAAGAAGAAGCAACACATCTGTCATATACCAGGATGTGGTAAAGTCTATGGGAAAACCTCACATTTGAGAGCTCATCTACGTTGGCATTCTGGGGAGCGCCCTTTTATTTGTAACTGGATGTTCTGTGGCAAAAGATTTACACGAAGTGATGAATTACAAAGGCATAGAAGAACACATACAGGTTACTAATAATTTTTATGTTTTCCCCTCTTCCTCCCTCCCTCTCTTTGTCAGGAATTGAACCCATGTGTGTGCAACACATTGATCTGTATCCCTGTTCTATAGTTGCTTTTAAAAGACAAAATGAATCATAGGCTATTAAACATACTAGACATTTTTTCAGCATACCTTTCTTGATCAGATCTTTAAAGTGGGTTAATTAGATAAAAAATCCTCCCTCAGTAATACTAATTTAAGTCTAAAGAACAAGCTAATATAGATTTTTCTTGATAGTTTTTATTTTATATTGGCTTTCATTGACATTTGAATGTCTTAAAGCATATTTTACTGTTTATTCTCTTCACATTTTAAATTAGTGCTGTTTCTCTTATTATACTAGCAAATGATAGACTCCTTTCTGGTAAATTCTGATATTCCATCTTATCTGTTTGAGTATCTGAGGTGAGGGAAGGGCGTTTCATTGAGGTATTGGTTATCAGTTACTCTCTTTTACATATGTATGGCAATTGTATGACATGGGCATAGGACAGATTCACACTGAAGTCTAACATAGTATAATGTAATTTTCTTGTGCTAAAATTAAATGATCAAAGTGTTGTATGTGCAGTGTTGAAGAATTGAAAGTTGACACTAAGGAAGTATCTAGAAAGAAGAAACATGGTCAAATGAACAGCATTAATTTTGAAGTCTGACACATTAGGACTACTTGCAGTTTTCTGTTTGGTTAAGCAAATAAGTCGTCTCTGCTTAGTTTGGCTTTGAATGTCATAGTAGATGACATTGACATATGAGGCAGTTTATGCACATTAAATGCTCCTGTTTTAGTTCTGTTACTTGTTAAAAGATGAGATTAACCTCTTTGAAATTAAGAGTATATGAGTAGCGGGATTTTCTGTTACAATTTGTTGAATATGCTCAGCAGAGAAAGTTCTAGACATAGCAACATTGAGCAATTATAGTGTAGACCCTAAAATGGCCCACAACAGAATTTTTCCCCAGTGGAATTTCCTCAGTAGGTTGTGAAAAAGAATAATGTATATAGAGAAAAAAAATCTGGTCAAATATGTGTAGATTATTTGATCACCCAAATGGGCATAGATTAAAGAGGGAACTTGAAGTCAAAAGACAGCACCTTTAGCTTTGGTATCAAGTTGGCAGGCTTGGAGGATGCCTTTTATCCCAACAATCAGGAGGCAGAGGCAGGCAGATCTCTGAGTTCAAGACCAGCCTGATATACATAGTGAGTTCCAGAACAGTCAGGGCTACACAGAAAAACCATGGGGTTGGGGGGGGGGGGTGGGTGGGGAATGCCCTGTATTTGGGTAGAATTATTTCCATAAGGGAAATCTTAAAGGGGCAGCTCATGAGACTGGTATAGTTCCACTAGACCTTCTGTTTCAGGAGAGACAGGCATTAATCTGTAAAGTGGAATTTTAAAACTAAGCAATTTAATTTTTCTTTACAGGTGAGAAGAAGTTTGTTTGTCCAGAATGTTCAAAACGTTTTATGAGAAGTGATCACCTTGCCAAACATATTAAAACACATCAAAATAAAAAAGTTATTCACTCTAGCAGTACAGTGCTGGCATCTGTGGAAGCTGGGAGAGATGATACCTTGATTACTGCAGGAGGAACAACACTTATCCTTGCAAATATTCAACAGGGGTCTGTTTCAGGGATAGGAACTGTCAATACTTCTGCCACCAGCAATCAAGACATCCTTACCAACACTGAAATACCTTTACAGCTTGTCACAGTTTCTGGAAATGAGACAATGGAGTAAATATTACACAAATACTTATTCATTGTGGTTATTTTTATACAGTAGTGAGAAGAATATTGTTCCTAAGTTCTTAGATATCTTTTTATTGATGTGCAAAAATTTTTGGATTGACAGTAACTTGGTTATACATGACACTGAAATGCCTTACTTTGTATGATATTCCATAGTATATTAAAAATGGTAAAATTGCATGAGTTTTGTAGGTACTTTTGGAATCTAGACGAAATGAAATTTTACCAAGTTATATAAAGAGAAAATTGAATTTAACAATGCGAATGGTAGTCTAACCAAATGCATCAATCCTGTGTGGTTTAGTGTAAAAATGAGAAACTGTTGTTATTTATCTCTTGTAAGATAAAAAAGTTGGTGGGTGAAAGAAATCATATTATGATTTCTTGATGACTGGAATTTTTATTATGCATAACTGACAAATCAGGTTTCCAAGCAAATGTTACATAGTGTAGGCTTTACTTAGCTTATCAATTTGTCATTTTGAGGCTAATTATTTTAATTAGGTTAACTGTACAATATTTTAAGCATTACTCTTGTAAGATTTTGAAAACTACATTTTAACATGGAACTTTAGGGATAGTCACCTTTTAAATCCTGTTGAAAAGCCATGTTTAAGATTTAATTTGCCAAAATAATGTCTGGTTAATATTCTTTTGATAATGAAGTTGGGCAATATAACTGATGTTTTTAAAAAGTTTAAAATGTGTAGGTTGAGGCATTTGGGTGGTAAGAAAATGTTCTAGTGAATTACCCCTTTTCCTGAAGTTTGGAGGACCAAAAATAATAATAATAAGGTTTATTGCATCTTAGCAGTGATTTTTTTTTTTCTTTTTCTTTCTTTCTTTTTTTAATCTAATCTTGTTTCCAGAAAAACATGTCTGCCAGGGCCTTAAAAGCCATTGTGTAAATTACCAATAAAGTATAACATATGCAAACATAACAAAATCACTTCCACAGTGACGATACTCCAACCATATGGATATTAGTCATAGAAACTAGAAGCTTTATGATTTTATAATTTTTGTCTAGATAGTCAGTCTGCATTTAAATATCAACCATTTTCCTTTTTTTGCTTCTTCCCTTAAAATTTATATGTATCCAATACATTTAATTGAGAAATGTATGTTTTTTATTATGCTGTATTTTCTTTTATTTTTTAATTATTGTTTATATTTTCAATTAAAAATGTACAAAATAAAATTACATTGCTGGTCTTGTAAGAGCTCTACAATTTTCCTAAATGTATCTATAACTGCAGCAGTTCACCTATTTCAAGAAGTTGGATTCTGTTCATTTGTTATCTTTAAGACCACCTCAGATTTAAAGGCTACCTTATTGTACGTTAAAAGTGTATTATAACAGTGTGGTAGTTAATAAAACACTATTTTTTTTTTCTTTTGAGTTTGTTGTAGTCCAATGGATTTAAAATATTGCAGTGGTATGGATAAGAAAGTCTGGCTTTTTTTTCTTTAGCCTTTTATTTTAAGATTCTTGATTTCAGATGCTGGGATTGTAAACAAATATATTTACTTAAAAAGAGGTGTATAGAGGTGCTGGCAATTTAATTTTTCACGTAAAATGAATTTATTAAATATAACTTGAAAAAAGCCTACCTTCTTAGCTCACATTGATTTGTATCAATTTTATCAACACCAGTTTGCAAACTATTTCCCTTTTCAAAGCACTTTCTGCATTTACATAACTATTCCTGAAAATGGTAACAGACAAGCTGTGGTAATCATGGCAGGCGGGAACCATTCAAAGGGTTATGAATGTGTGTGAACCTCAGGTACAGAGGAAGGGTGGTAGGAATGGAAGAAAACAATGGAATGCGTCTTTGTGTGTACAGCGTTAGTGAGGTTTCCATCATCTGTTACCCTGGCCCAACTTGACACTGGTACTTGAAATTTCAGTGCATAAGTCAACTCTAGGTACACAGAGTAATCGAGGGCAGTTTTTCTAAGTGAGGCTTTAATTTAGGATGTGAAAGAGGAACTGTTACTTGGAATTTACTAGAAATCAATACTTTGAGGATCAGAATTTGAAAAACCATGTAGAATAATTTTCTATTAATATTGTCAGTAGTGTTTGCTTGAATCAAACATCTACTAAGTTAGAAAGTAGGTTGTGTATGTGTGGGGCATGGGTGTGAGGTATAAGGAGATTACCCTCAGAGCGGCCCAGTTAGGTTAGGCTGAGTGGGCAGCTAACCTTAAGGGGATGGGGGTTCCTACCTCCCTGGTGTGGGGAACCACCATACTTGGGGACTCAGACTTGAGTTCTCATACTTATATGGTAAGCATCTTGCTGACTGAATTCTCCCCAGCACCAAGATGTTTTTAAGTAATTGGAGATTGAGTTTCCAGCACTTTGATCCAGGAATTCCCAAGCATTTTGTAGGGACTAAATGCACTGAAAAAAGGTTACTACTGGCCTTGAAAGGTGATTGTGGACTTGAGATTTTTGAGGTGAAAATATTTGTCCTACACTGTAATGATTGTATTTCTGTTTTTATATTCTTTGAATATTGGCTGTTTTGGAAACTATTTGAGGAGTTGCTCTGAAGCCAAATCTGTGGCTATAAAATCTGTTAGTAGACAGGAGTATATCTCACTGTACACCCTTTAATAGTTCTGTCCAGTTTTTTTTTTAATGACTACAGTTAGTGCACATTGTATTTATGTGCAAGTAATTAACTATTATACATCTACTGAGCTAGAAGTCTTTAAAAAGGAGGTATACATATTACATAGTCAGCTGCCTTATAATTTTGGCCTTCAAAATAGTGAAAATGCTTAAATATATTTAAAACTACATGTTATAGTTGGGCAGTGGCAGCACACGACCTTAATCCCAGCACTAGGGAGGCAGAGGCAGGCAGGTTTCTGTGATTTTTGAGGCCATCCTGGTTTACAAAGCTACACAGAGAAACCTTGTCTTGAAAAATCAAAACCCTGGGAGGGAGAGGGAACTGGGATTGACATGTAAAACAAGCTTGTTTCTAATTAAATTTAAAAAGAATAATTAAAAAAAAAACAACCCTACATGTTAGGTAAGCTGGTGTGCATTTTGTAGAAAATAATTTTTGGGACCAGTGAGGTGACTCAGTACATAAAGGTGCTTGCTACATAAGCCAAGCAACCTGAGTTCAGTCCCGGGCCTGGAAGCCATGTAGAGGTTGAAGGAGGACCAGCTCCATAAAGTTGTCCCCTGAGTGCCACATACATGCTGTCACAATTGTGTGCTTGCTATAATACGTCAAAAGAAAAACTTTTTAATCAGGATGTTCATCAGGAAATCCTAGAAAGCATTTTTATGTTTTGAGAGAGTATCTTTTAGCTCGGCTGCCCTTGAAGTTGTAGCTGAAGATGAGCTGCTCTTGCCTCTTCCCCATGTGCTGGGAATACACATCAATTCCACCTTCCTTGGTTTGTGTTAGAAAACTTCTAGGAAAAAAAGACTCTTTAGTGAAAACATATGGCTACAGTAGAGGACAGCATTGTGGGGTTTGGTTCTTGTCCATCTCTACATGGGTTCTAGGGGTGGAACTCAGGTTGTGACCACTTTACCTGTGAGCCATTTTTAGAGGTTTTGGAAAAAAGGTATTTTAATACTATCTTTGTTTTATGTGGATGGGTGTTTTGTCTGCATGTATGTCTGTACCACAGGTATGCCTGGTGCTCAAGGAGGCCAGTAGAGGGTGTTGGGTCCCCTGGGACTGGAGTTACAGATGGGGGCCAACATGAGGATGCTGGGAATCAAACCTCAGTCCTCTAGAAAAGCAGCCTGTGCCCTTAACTGTTGAGTCATCTAGCCACCTGGAAAATAGTTTTTAAAAGTACATTTGACTAACTTCATTGTTTTGTTTTTTTGGCAGTTCATTAGGTTGTTATATAACCTTTGTTACAATCATTTAAAATTCAGCAAGAAACACCTCCCCCCCCCAACCTGGAGGTTTATATAAGACAAAAATAGTAGCAGCTGTTCCATGTAGTTTACATATTTATTATTTGCCTGGAAAGATTGTATGCTTTTATGAGCCCCCCCAAAAAAAACCAGTAAAAATAAAATAATTGTAAAAGACTAACCATAATAAATGGTATTTTGTGAGAAAAATAAGAACAATAGGCATTCCTTTCAGATACTAATTGTAGTTTAGATCCTAGAACTGCCTCAAATTTTCTCTTTTTGTTTCATTATGTTGTATTTAATATTTGAATTAGCATTTAGAAATTTTGGCTTTAAAAGTTGACATTCTATATACTACTTACAGTTAAAATTTTATGAGGGTGGTAAATATTTTCAGTGTAAATAGACTAGAGTGCTTAAAACTTATTGCTATGAATGAGTAGTGAGTCTTGTGTAACACCCTGACACCAGTTAGTTGATACCCTGGGAACAAAATTTGATGTTAGTGGCTCACTTTTATTGTTAAGGTTAAAGAGATTGATTTCCCTCTTGCCTTGCTCATATTTACATATAAAATCATTGACTTATGTATTTGTTGCATTTGTAAAGTGCTGTGGGAAAAATTAGTGATTCCTGCTCCCCAGAAAAGATTAATTTATCCAAGTCCAGAATTTTCAAACACTAATTTTAAGTTGAGGACTAAGCCTTGGGAAATGAGCACATTCTAGGAAGTGGTGGGGTTGGAAGAACAGTCAAGAAGACAGACACTGTAGAAGGTGTCAAGATTGTGGTGGACATTCACACACGACAGTGAAAAAGGATGCTGGTTTTAGGCTGCAGAGTGGCCTAATCGATGAGTAGTTGGGTGGCTAAAAAGACTAGTCATCTGAGGATGTGGTAAGAGTGGAAACAAGGACAGAATAGACTTACCAGGAGCTGATGAGTACTGAGCAAATAATAAAAATTAAAGTGAAATTACGCTGCTACCTATTAAGCAATTTCCTTTAAACGTTCATGAGAGTTTTAAAGACATTCTTCACAGTATGTTTTTTTAAAACTACTTCAGGCTGCTTGTGACACGCCCTTAATCCCAGCACCCAGGAGGCAAAAGTAGACATCCGAATTCAAGACCAGCCAGGGCCGGACAGTGAGACCCAGTCTCAAAACAAAATTTTCATATTTTGTGACACTTAAATGATTAAACTTAGAACCTTGAGGATATTACACAAGTATTTTACCACTGAGCTACATCTCCAGCCCTTAAAAATGTTAAAGCTGGGTGAACATGTTTTGTTAACTGTATATTTGATGTAGCAATTTTATTTTTAATGTGCTAGAGGAAAGATGCTAAAAGCATTGGCTGTTCTTGGAGAGGATCCTTGTTTGATTCCCAGCACCCATATAGCTGCTCACAGCAGTCTGTAATTGCAGTTTCAGGGATTTCAGCACCCTGTTAAGACCTCAC